TTTTATCAATTTTTTCATTGTTTTTTTTTTGTTTGTTTGTTTCAATTTCGTTGATTTCCGCTCTGATTTTAATTATTTCTTGTCTTCTGCTATATTTGCTGTTGTTTTGCTCTTCCTTTTCTAGGGTTTTGAGATGTAGTGTGAGTTCATTTATTTGTTGGTTATTTTTCAGCATTTGAAATACATTGTTCCAGGATCTTCTCGCTTTCAAAGTCTCTGATGAAAAATCAGTAGTTAACCTAATTGGTTTACCCCTGAATGTAATCTGCCTCCTTTCTCTCGTAGCTTTCAATATTCTCTCTGTATGTTGGCTATCTTCATAATTATATGTCTTGGAGTTGGTCTATTACGGTTTTGGATGTTTGGGGTCCTGTAGGCTTCCAGGATTTGGCAATCCATTCCATCTTTCATCTCTGGGAAGTTTTCTAGAATTATTTCATTTAATAGGTTGTCCATCCCTTTGGTTTGAACCTCTGTGCCTTCTTCTATCCCAATGACTCTGAAATTTGTTTTTTTTGATGAGATCCCATATCTCTTGGATAGATTGCTCGTGAGATTTAAGCATCTTTTCTGTGTTGACTATATTCTTTTCAAGTTGATAAACTTTGTCTTCATTATCTGATGTTCTGACTTCTATTTGATCTAATCTATTTGTAATATTCTCGTTAGCGTTTTTAATCTTGTTTATGCTTTCTTGCATTTTTAAGATTACTGTTTGGTTTTTTTTTAAGATCTCTATCTCCTGGTAAAGCTCGTTCTTTGCAGTTTGACTTTGTTTGTTTAGTTCGTTTTCAAAATATACTTTCAATGCTTGGACTTGCTGTCTCATGTCTTCTCTAATATTCCGTTCCATCTGAGTTAGGTATGCCTTGATTTCTTTCCCTGTCCATATTTCTGATGCTTCTAGGTCCTCCTGTAGATTTAAGTTGTCCTGCATTATCTGTGATCCTTTCTTCCCTTGTTTTTTCATGTTGTTCACGTTACTTTACAGCTCTGTTTGACTGCTTTGTAACTGCTTTCTTCTATACATTTGTTTTGGCTTTGTATATCTCTGTTGTCTCTCCTTTGTGGTGGGAGATTATGCCTAGAGATGTTGGGCTTTATTGTACTTTAGAGTTGATTCATTCAATTTATAAAGGGCTTCCGGATTTTGTATGCATATAGTGATTTGTTGTTTGTTCTTAGGACTTTAGGTTAGGTGCTATGAAGGTATAAGGGTTAGTATGTCTTGGCTACTTTAGAAGGTTGCTCTCCTGAAGGGGGATACTAACCATCGATTGGATTAGGGTGTTGGTAGTAGCTAGGTATTTAGGAGCACTATAGATGGTCTCGAAACATTCACTTATTTGCATTTAGACAGTTACACGTAATGGAGGACATAATGCTTGCGATGAAAGTTGGGGGGAAGGGGAAGGAAGGTGCTCTTGAGAAGAGAGAAGGAGAGGGAGATAGATAGCATAGAGGAGAATGGAAAGAACAATAAAACTTGGAAGGGGAAAGAAAGAAAAGGGGAGAGAAAAAATAAAATAAAATAAAATTAGGTCTCAGAGATCCATTTTCTTCTCTTCCTGTAGGCAGAGCTGTGCCCTCTGAGCTGAGTTTTGCCCTCAATGTGTCAACAGCAATCCCTGTAAGGTGGATCCTGGGAGTCTCTCAGTCTTGTTGGTCCAGAGCCATGTCACTTCTATGGCCCCTCCTCCCCTTCCTCCTGCCAGCCAGCCAGGTCCTGCTCACTGGAGGCGGTTCCCCAAGGATCTGGTTACACTTTCAGCCCCACCACGTGCCCTATTTCCTGAATGACTGAGCACTCTCTCTGTCATTCATCTAAGCCCCAGTGCTGTGGAGCTGCGGTCTGGGAGTCAATAGTTTAATTTTTCTGGACCCCTTTGGTGGGCATGCCCTCAGAAGCTTGCAACTAAGACCTTGGGTGTCACCACTGGTGGTAATGTGAGTTGGGGGTCGAGAATCCCCTCTGCTACCCTCAGCCCCTACAATCATGACCACTCTGCTGGCGGTAGGAGGAGTTGGGGGTCAGGAGTGTCCTCTGTTTCCCTCCGCCCCTACCGTCACGCCCTCTCAGTTGGCGGTTGGGGGTAGGGAGTCTTCTCTGCTTCCCTCCGCCCCTACAGTCACGCCCACGTCACTGGCATTAGGGGGAGTTGGGGGTCGGGAGTCCCTTGGCCCTTACGGTCACGCCCATGGAGAGATTTTTGAAGTTTCCCAGTTGTTTGTATCTGATGTGGGTGGGAGTCACACACCTGCTAAAGTAGATTCCGCTGAGAAGGAATCTCGTTGGCCGAACTCTGGTGACTTCCCCTCTCTGCTATGGCGGGCCCGTGGCTCCTTGCCGGAGTGTCCGAAGGGAGGGGTGGGACTAGCTTGTCTCTGGTCTGACTCAATCTCTGGTTTTCGTTCCCAGTTCGCTATTTAATAAAGGCTTGATTAGAGTCCCTTCACGTCGCCTCCTGAGCCGGGCAGGCGGGGGGCCGTTTCGTGTTTTGTATTTTAAACCCCCTGTGATTTGTTTTAGATATATTTTAGTCTGTTAAAATATAACAATTTTTTTTTTTAGTCTGAACATTCTAGCAGCCAACATTAACTCAAACATTAATTGCTGTCAATGGGAAAGGATATCTTTCCACATCTTTTCTTGGTGCTTACACCATCCCAATTCTTTTTTCTTTTACCTTAATAACAGATTACTGACACTTGGGAATTATAAACATATTGCATCAATCTTTATGGAAAGATTACCAATTATTGCACTGCAAAATAAACATTTCTTTCTAATAGAGTGTTTCTCTCCATGTCTTTCTCTCTCTCAGTTTAGTGCTTTTGAATACCTTTTAGGTGAATGAATGCTTTGTGTCATGCTGTGATTTAATATTTTTAAGAGACTTTATTGATAGCTTTTTAAAAAACTTATGTGGGAGGAGGATGAAGGAGAAAGATTATTCATTCAATGTGAAATCTTCACAGATCTTTAGATATCCACAAGGTAGAAGGATGGCCAATGTTAATTACCCCTACTCTGGTATAGTTCTGAAATTAGTATTTGCTGTGAAGAGTTGTGAACAGTGAGAATATTAGTGGCGAGCTGTGGATTGAGCATTGCAGTGTGCTCTTTGTGCTGATTAGATCCAGAAGTTTTGTGGAACCCTGGAATACACCATCGATTTCCATTTCCACTGCTCAAATCAGGAGAAATAAAAGCTTGCACATACACATACTGGCCAAGTGGCTACACACAGAGTTCAATTTGAATGTCTTCACAAAGCCAATCCAACAAAGCTACCAGAAATTAGGTGTTGAAGATGAAATAGCAGGGGTTTTTTTTGTTTTGTTTTGTTTTTTAATTAAAAGTAGCATTTTTAAAGGAGCAATAGTCTCCTTCTCTTATCTTTACTGTAGAACAGCATGGAAAATTTAGGCTCTGCTGCAGTGTGTTAGGCACCTTTGTGACTTCCTGCTTTCTAGCTACTGGGCTTAGACATCATGAGTTGGTATTGGCTCATATTGAGGAAAAAATAAGGAAATCACATAAGGAGACATATATATCAAAGTATAATCTACCTGATCAATAGATGTCGATATTTTTTCAAGGAGTACTCTCGAACCTGAATGTAAAATCTTATAGAAGACAAATCATGAATGTATTTTGATGTCCTGTAAATAGTATTGAGTAAAGACTGCATTTAAGTGAGACCCAGAGCTGAAGCTTAGCTGTAAAGACCAGATTCTGTGTACTTATTTAGATAGAAAAGATCTACAAAGGCCTGGGGTTTTTGAATGTCTGGGTTGGGCATGTTTGCTCATTCTCCCTGTCTACATCTCTTAATCTATGATAGAGCCATTAGAGAGCAAGATGACATAGCCCGTCTCCTCACTGATTCCTGAAGTTCAAGTGCATCAGATGCTGCTAGAAAATGGCAGAAGTGCTGATGTGTGAACTTGATTAGGGAATCTTCTGAAGAGTATTGATTCAACATCCTCCTCATTATGTTATAGACAAAGCAAAAATGAGAATGTATAGTGAAAGGGCATATATTGCCAGCAACATGTTAGTAAGTATTTAAAATTCAGAGTATCTTCTCTTTTTTATTATGCAGAATAAATGATTAAAGCTGAATATTGGTGAACCACTCACTGCCTGTGCTCTTTGACTTGTTGGTGATCCACTTTCTACAACATCACATCTACTTTTTTTGTTATAAATAACTTTTCTATGGGTTATTTTCACTCTGCAACAATCTCCTTAACCAAGGGAAGGAGAATTCCTTTGGAAAATACTCGATTCTTTGGTACACAATGATTGTACAATAAACACAGTTCCTGGGACATCTTAAGGAAGGTTAATTCTCTAGAAAAATCAAGTTGGTTTGCATTTGTTGGCAAATTTATTTCTGCATCTCTTTGGCCAACTCTAAACCTCCAGTTCCTTGACTTTCTCCTAAACTAGTCTTAACATCTTCCTGATTTCCTCATTAATTCAGTCAAGTAGAATTTTTGACTCCTGTTTTTTTTCATTTTAATGAGACTTTTAACTTTTTGAAAATTATACTTGCAAGAGTATTGCCAACATGAGCTTATATAACTCCCATATAATGGTAAAACCCACTTCCAACCTCATGCATCTTTAAGTTAAACTTGGCCAAGTAAAAGAGAATAACACACATACATACATATATGCTGTGTAAGATATATATAATTTCTAAAATGTAAAGAGAAGTATAAATTGGTTATATAATGTTAATATATGAAAAATTACAAGTTAATATTAATTTTAAGCTGGGGCTGGGGATATGGCTCAAGCGGTAGCGCACTCGCCTGGCATGCGTGCGGCCCAGGTTCGATCCTCAGCACCACATACAAACAAAGATGTTGTGTCCGCCAAAAACTAAAAAATAAATATTAAAAAAATTCATTCTCTCTCTCTCTCTCTCTCTCTCTCTCTCTCTCTCTCTCTCTCTCTCCACTTTCTTAAAAAAATTAATTTTCAGAACTACAGACAATTTTAAGAGGCTGGCCTGTTGCTCAATGGACTCATTCTATTTGCATCTATGGGTATTAAAGATTCATGGATGAGAAAAGAAGAATTTTAAATATTCTCAGGGATCTACCTGTGTGACCAAGATATCTCTGCGTGAGAAAAACATGACACTCTGAGGGCTGAAAGGTAAACAATTTGTGATTTCAAAGGGGTTTCCTGAGATTAGTGAAAATAGGAAATAAACCACATCTAATGCAATGGTGGCATAGCACATTTGAAAGGAACCCTCTCCTATGATTTTCAGCTCTGGAATGTGGTGTCAATTAGATACTGCCTTTGCCTGAGAGATTTGCATCCCCATGCAACTTTATTTCTGGCAAGGGTGACACCTGGCAGCTTAGGAAAGAAGACAATTTAGTAAAGAAGCATGACTGGGCAGGTCTGTCCAGCATCAGCCATTCATTGCATAAGGTGAAGAACTTTCTGGGTTTGATGCTATCATAGTCTCTGCCATCCAGATGTGCACAGTTTTGTCATAAAGAGACATCAAAGCTAGAACATGAGCAAGCAGAATGAAAATGATGTAGGAGAGATGTAAGTGCTCTGGAGGTCAGAGGAGGTGGGCATATCCACAGAGGGACCAGAAGGGGCCTTGGAACAGTGGTGGAAGTCCAGAGATGTCTGAAAGACCAACTAGGGTTTCAACAGACAGATGCGAGTGGGGGCTCTTTAGTTGAGTCCACCAGCTCAGCAAAGATGTGTGGAAATAGAACAATGGTGTTTAAAGACTTGTGAACAGTGAGGCAGAAGCAAAATAGTGGGCCCACCTTTTATCAGTCTCCCAAGGAATAGGATAAGAGGCTTGTTCTCAATTCAGCACCCAAGCTAGGCAAACATGATTCAGAGAGCCATAGAACTATGATTACACAAGACTGGATATGTTCTGAAATCCACCTGTGTCAAATATTCCCTCACTGAGCACCCACTGTGTGCCAGGGTCCTGTGGTAGGTACCAGGGATACCAAGATGTGGTTATGTCCTCTAGTAACTCACAGTACCCTCATCAAGGCAGAAATACATGGTGACACTTTCAAAGCAATGCATGTGCTACAATGGAGACATGAATGGAGTTCACTGGTAACAGAAACACCTAGTCTGGTCTTAGATGTCTGGAAGACTTCCTGCAATAAGGGATGCCTGCTGGAATAGTTTGTGCTCTGTAAGGCCACCAGGAGTAGAGAGCTAGTTGGGTGCTAGAGAGCTAGTCCTGAGGTTAAGCACACAATTTAAGCTCTGGCTTAAAAAGCCTCACTTAATATCTTACATTACCCAACCAGCGAAAGCATTCATTTTCTCATCTGTAAAACAGGGATGATAGAGAACATATGTTTATAAGGAGAATTAAATTAAAATGTGTCAAGTACTTAGCTCTTAGTCAATTCTTTTCATGATCAACTCACAGCAAATCAATTTAATTGGCCAAATGACTAATACACTAAATTTGCCAAAGTCACCAAGTAGCTTAATTAGAATATTCAACTTTGAGTTTCTCATTGTAAGATATGTTTTTCTATTAACCAAATTTAGCTTGATAATGCCATCCAGCAAATGAATCTTGTGTAATGCTACCTTGTGAAAAGTGACATATGCAAAGCCTTGGGTTCAACCTTCAGCACTGCAAAGGGGTGTGGGGAGGTGGCAAAGCAGGAATAAGTCTAAGCTATTTTTTTTTCCATGTGAAGTGCTATTTTTCAACCAAATATTAAGCATTTCATGTGAAACAAATTTGCTTCAGTTTTTTCTCATTTCTTTCTGATACTCATGAATGTCTTTCTATTCTTTGAACTGTAATTTTTTTATGATTTTCATCAGTTTTTTTCATGGTATATCAGACTTAAATTTATTAAGTTTAAAATTGAATTTAGTGGTAATTCAGCTTTAAACAATTCAAATTTTAATGCAAAACATCCCAAAGAAATCTGAAATCTTAATTAAGTTTCAAAGCATATTCCTGAGAAATGCTGAAAACTTTGGCTCTAAAAAGGATCATTTGGGATACATGAATAAGTAGCAGTTTGCATAAACATTTGACAGAAAAATGTGTTCAACAGTTCAAAAATGAGAAAGTTAATTTCCTCAGAACAAACTAGTATAATGCATCACATTATCAGTACTTCATTTCTGATATGCATTAATCATAAATAGAAATTTTAAAGGAAACAATCAACAAAAGCAGCTTCAAAGAGCTCAAGATTGTTACGTGATCATCAAAAAGTTGAACAAAGATTGTAATCAAAGCATTGACCATATTCTTAAAAAGAAAGAAAGAAAGCTCCATGTAACCATGTTACAATCCAGATAATGGGTACTGTTGAGAGCCACAGTTTAGTCAGAATGATGCCTGGCATTTTTGCCAGAGGGAATGGTTGAAAGGTGACCCTGCTCCAGGATTAGGGTGGATCCTGCTGCCTCGGGCACCGGCTACTTTGGAGTTCCTGTTTTGGCGTGTGGAGCCTGGTGGAGGAAGTGTGTTCCCAGGAAGTGTGTGTAGGGGGCCAGTGAGATTTCGGGAATAAAGGTTGCTGTTTGAACCTACAAGGCTGTGTGGCAGCTGGGTTATTTTGTGCCCAGCCAGACTGCGGCAGGGTACATGGGAATTTATGGTATAATTTTTCCCCTATGGCTGGGAACTGAACCTAGGACCTCATACTCTATGTAAGCACTACTATGCTCTAACACTGGGTCTCACTGTACAGCCCTGTATAATGTTTATATCAGTTTGAAAATTCTAAATATGCAGGTTGGGGGGGTTTGATGTAAAATCAGATTTTTTTATAAAAAATGCTGAAAGCATATTCCTATCAATAACAACCAAAACTAAACATTGTCTAAAGCTATGAAATTTTCTGGTAAAAGTTACTGAAACTTTTTTGTTTTAATGAATATCCAAACTGACTAATGTTGGCCAGTGTTTCATTCTGGAAAACTAATTTGATAAATGAGCATTCATAAATTAATTCCTGGGCTATTAAGCCTTGAAGAAGAGAATACAGTCTTAGCAGGGGGGAAAAAAAACAGAAAATAGATGTGAGAAAGAGGAAGCAACAGAATTTAGCTGGAATTCTGCAACCCGGAGAGGGAGAAGGAATATGGAGATTGGCAGGGCCCAGTCCTAGGTCAGTTATAGCCATGGTAGGGTTTTATAATACTTGGAAGTTGTATTGTGAGGATTTTTTTTTCCTGATTGTAAGCATAATGTGATATAAACAAATTTGGACTAAGGAAAAGAAGCTGAAAAAAGAAAATGAAAACTATAATCCTGTTACATTTTTATGGGACATGCTAATAAGAATTTTTCTTGATACTTTAGTTTGTCTTCTGAAGGATTGAAAGTCTTGATATGATGACCAGTAGGTGACTGCCTGACCCCAGTCGAGGACCTTTCCAGATAGTACCTTTGTCCACACTGGAGCACCTACCAATATTGACCATTATTCTTTTTTTGAAAAAATTATTTATTTATTCTAATTTATTATACATAACAGCAGAATGGATTTCAATTTATAGTACACATACAGAGCACAGTTTTCCATGTCTCTGGTTGTATATGAAATAGAGTCACACCATTCTTGTCTTCATACATGTATTTAGGGTAATGATGTACATCTCATTTCACCATCTTTCCTACCTGCATGCCCCCTCCCTTCCCCTCCCTTCCCTTTTCCCTATCTGAAGTTTCTCCATTTATACCGTGCTCCTCCTCATACCCTCATTATGGATCAGCATCCACATATCAGAGAAAACATTTGGCCTTTGTTTTGGAGGTTGGCTTACTTCACTTAGCATGATTTTCTTTAAAAAAGAAAATTACAGTAGTCCCTTTTATCCACATGGGGTAGGTTCCAAGACACCAGCAAATGCCTGAAAACACACTAAATTTTTTATAAAAAATGCTGAAAGCATATTCCTATCAATAACAATCAAAACTGAACATTGCCTAAAGCTATGAAAGCTATCTATTGCTTTTTCTATTCATACATGTATACCTATGATAAAGTTTGTAAATTAGGCACAGTAAGAGAATAACAGCAATAATTAATAATAAAATATGACAGTTACAGCAATATACTATATATGCAAATGTGTTTTCTCTCTCTCTCTCTCTCTCTCTCTCTCTCTCTCTCTCTCTCTCTCTCTCTCTCTCTCTGTCATTGAATGGAATTTTAGTAAACTGAAACAGCAGACATCAAAATGCTGGATAAGAGGGTTTTGTGATTGTTAGAAAATATGACGAGGAGATAAATAAATGTGTGTATGTAATTTTTTACTAGACAGGTATCATTTCCAGCACTTTAGTGTGTATCCTAGACTTTTCTTCTGTCATTACTCACATGGATATTATGGAATCTTCTCATACAGTATATTCTAGTTTGTAAGTTTTCTGCCTAACACTACATATAATTCATCAATGTTATAAATGTTCATCTACTTTAATGTTTGAGTGGTACAGAATATTGCATCATGTGAGCAATGTCTAAACTGCATTTCAAATGTGCATCACAGTCACCAACCAATCACAGTGGTTGCTGGCTAGTGCTGTCATACACTGTCATTGACCAGGTCTTCACTGAGCCAATAGCACTGTGGTGACTTTTACATTGTTTTTATTTGTTCCCAACCAGTTGCAAGGATGAAGTGAATATCTTATACACTAATCCTTTGTGCACAGCGTGATCATTGTGTAAGGAAACGTTTTAATAAGTTTAATAATAAGTTTTAATAAGTTTAATAATTCTTTTTTTTAAATATTTGAACACACAAGTTTATTTACCTGTTAATACAAAGATTTCTGATGATTTTTTTTTAATTTTTATTGTTGGTTGTTCAAAACAGTACATAGTTCTTGATATATCATATTTCACACTTTGATTCAAGTGGGTTAATCAAAGGAACTTCCATGTTTTAACTTTTATAACTTATTTAACCAAATTGTTCTCCAAGGTTTTATTAATTTACATTGACATTGGTAGTAAACAAAAGTCCATTTTCCACACTCTCTGAGAATATTACCATCAATATTCTAAGTTCAAATAACATTTCACTAATTCAGTTTGCATTTCTTCTATTACAATTGAGATAAAATTTTCCATGTTTCTTGGTCATTTTTGTTTGTTTGTGTGGGCTGT